AAAAAGTCATCCCCACAGACAAAAACCCTGAGATGGATGTCTTTACTTGAGACATAGCCCACAGCACTGGCAAACCAATGAGTGAGGACAACGGCAATAATGAATGACATACACACCCCGTTTGGCAGGCTGATCTAACTCAGAAGGCCACTTTCACTGTCGTTTATCTCTGCTTCCTAAATGGCCAGAAAAAGATAGATCCACCAGCAGTCAAACGAAGGTCAAAGGTATAGCACAGGTATGCACTATCTATATGGAAAGTTACTTATATCTCATTTGGGAACAAATTTATTGTCTAATTTTGTATGGCTGAGGTCAACAGTAAAATGAGCTTGCCTTCTGAGAACTCAATTTAAATTCTAAGAATTACAACTTTTTCTGATGGTTCAAATAATTTCTCCTGCTTTCAAGTTTAAAAAATTAAATCTATTATAATTTCCTTTTCCTCTAAAGAAGAGCAATACATTTATCCATAATCATTAGAAAATTATTTTTATCATTAAAACAGGTGGACCTGTGTATAACATCCTAACTTCTCTTATTAATATCAATGAGAATTCTGAACATTTTTTTGAGACAGGGTCTTACTATGTAGTCCAAGCTGGGCTCAAACTTGGCATCCTTCTGCCTCAGCCTCCAGAGTGCTGAGATTACAGGTATGCAGCACCGTGCCCAGCAATCTCCAACATTCTTGCTTGTGTACAGAACACTTACCTCTTTTCTTTTGCTCGCCACCATCTTCTTATCTGATCTCTGGACACTTCCAGTTCCAAAATAATCCAGCACGGAGGTGGGTGTGAGCTTTATTGGCGATAAAGGCTTGTTCTTGTTCTTCGTGTTTTCTTCACTCTTCTTCACGCTGGATGTTCCAAGGTAAGTATGTGCAGACCCTCCATTCTCCTTTGCTTTAGACGCTGTCTTCTTACACATAAAGTCATCATCTTCATCTTACATGGAATATAAGCAGATGGTTTTTGGATAAACATCAACTCTAATTACATAAAGCAACCAATTCTACCAGCTTTATAAAACATGTATGAGCTTTGGAACATAAATTTTCTTTCTTCTTACCTCCTGAAGTCAACAGTCAACCCTGTATTTACCAGTGCCAGGCCTATCATACACTACCTTCCCCAATTATCACGCAGAGCATACAAATATTTACTAATTCCATACTAGTGGAATTTACCCATTCCGTACTAAGCACTGAGGATACAGCTGTGAATAAAAAAAAGACAAAAACTCCGTCCTCATGGAACTTTTCATCTACAAGAGGAAACATACACAATAAACAAACATAATGTCAGGTACACGTGCAATGAAGAAAAGGTTTTTAAGCGGAGAAAGAATTCTAGAGGGCGTTGCTACGCAGAAGAGAGCTCACCTAGCTCATGAGAGGCCCTAGGGGAAGTGGAGACAGAAAGCCACCAGCCTTACAGTGCGTGAGCCAGGAGGTCCCCGTGACTGCAGCCCAGGGAGGTCTACTTTGCAAGAGTTCAGGTGAAAGAGGCAGGAGTCAAGTCCTGTAGGACTTCCTAGGTCGCAAAAAGAATTTCAGGTTTTCACCAGAAAGAACCCGCTGGAGAAGTCCAAGTAGAGCAGTGAGCAAGGCCCGAAGCCTCCCCTCGAGAGGACTCTTCGAGGGTGAGGACAGGGAGGCCGCTGTGGAGGCTGCTGGAAGGAGACGTCAGTGAGGAACCAACCCCCGCCATGCACACCACACCTGACTCCTAAAAAAACTTTAAGAAGCAGCTGCGGCAGTTCCAGATCAGACGCTGACTAGGGTGGGTTTTACAGAGGTGGCTAACAAGTCGTCAGACTCTAGTTCACATTCAAGGTGGATTATCTGCCAGCATCTAGCCATTTATTTATAACATTAGACTGGTACATTTTATCTTTTTTAAAGATTCCATAAACATTTGGTTTTAAGTCTTCCTACACATTCAGGGCAATGCTCTCATAACTAGAAACCCCAAAAATGTATCTCAAAGGCGCCTCGGTAAATTTTTGCTTGAGTCAGTGGTTCACACAGAAAAGGCTTCTCAGTTTGGTGCGCTAACAAAAGAAACCCAATAAAACGAGAGGCAAAGTCACCGCGAAGGTGGGATCATCACAGGGAGAGGAGGGTTTGCTGCACAAATGCAGAAATCAGGCCCGAGTCTGAGGGGGTCTTCCCTTCCTCCAGGCCCCTGAGGCGAACACAACATTCACCAAGGGCCTTCTGCCCCACGCACTTTGCTACCCCTCACGGCCTGCTGTCTAAAATGAAAGCAAATGACAATACATTAAAATAAAACCAAAATTTCTAAGCCCTCTTCCCTATAAATAATAAAGCAGTTTCAAGTCACTCAAGATAGTTTACTAGAAAGATTAAGAGGTCTTTTGTTTGCTTTATTTTGTTTTGGGTTTTGGTTTGGTTTGGTTTTGGGATTAAGGCTTTGATTTTGGTTTTTTGACACAGGGTCTCACTATGTAGCCCAGGGTAACCAAACCTGCAACAACCCTGCCTCAGCCTGCAGCACTGGAACTACAGGCATGCATCATGCAGCCGGTAAGATTAAGTTTTTAATAAAAGCCTAAGTGCCCAATACAGCACCCAGCCAGGTCCATTCAATAAGTAATAATTAGTAGTCACTAGTGAAAACAACACTGAACCAAAAGTCCAGAAAACTAAACTACTGTCTTTGATTTACTATTTTTATTTTAATGATCTGAACTTCACTGTCCTGTAAAAATGTACTCAGACAAGATTTTTCCTCTGTATAATTTTGAGATTCTATGAAGGCCATATAGATTTTTTATTATAGTCAATATTCATGAGAAATGCTAAGTTTATAATAATAAAAACACAATTATGAACATATAAACTAGCATGACTTTTCTATTTTTTTTTTTTTTTTTTTTTTTTTTTGAGACAAGGTTTTGCTACGCAGTGCAGGCTGGCCTTAGACTCACTCTGTAGCCCAGGCCGGCCTCAAACTCGAAGCAATCCTGCCTCAGCCTCCTGATTACTGGGATTACAGGCATGCGCCACCACATCTGGCCTAACGTCTTTTCTAGAGAGGAATTTGGAAAAACATATCTAAAAACTCAAAGAAATTCATTTCCTTTAAGCATGGTAATTCTTGGAGATATCACAGATAGTGTGTGGGGAAATATTTATATACAAAGATATTCATAATATTATGAGAAACATGAAATGAAAAGACAACTGAAATACTCAAAAATTGGGAAAGCCTTAGATAAGCTGTGGTCTAACCATTCAATAAACTCATGAAGACATTAAAAATTAAGCCCACATTTCAAGGCTCAAAAAACTGATGAAAACAACGAACAGCTATTGCTGAGAACAACCTCATGTAAAATAAATACTTCACAACCCTGCACACCATGTAGCTATGCAACACTCCTCTTCAATATTTGCTCGTTTCCTACCAACTCTGAGTTTGTTTCTGTCTTGTCAGAAGTGAAAAGCAAGCTATTTTCTCTTCTCCCTGGAAACTTATAATAAAATAATAAAGAATAGATCTAAGTCAAATTTCTGAGAACTAGTTGAAAATCATGAGCAAGTGAACACTTAAAATTTCCCTCCGGGATATTTGTCTCCTTATAAGAAACACCATTTATTTTTATTTACAGACAATATAACCTCAAATGTGGTAACAACCACCAAGTAAACTAGCATTATCCAACACAGCAGAGGAATTGCCTGGGAGACAAGATTGTTTTGTCCCTCTGAGTGGCATGCATTCATTTATTTAGAAGTCTAGCAAATGAAAGAAAGGAAATAATGTGCTGCTCCATGTAGAAATCTATTCACAAGCCAAGAGGAAAAAATCTAATTATAGACTTCATACTGCTCAGAGCTTGGCCATTCCAAACGGATCTCTAAATATTAACCCCAATTCAATGATTTTCCTTCCTTTGGCCTGGAACACAGTAAAATCAAATTAATGGGGAGATCTCATTACAGAGATTAGAAATAAATTAGCAACAAGTCAAAAACCAAAAGGGAACCTGCATGTTTAAAGCCATTTTCTGTGAAGTTCCTTTTCGGTACTTCCTTGAATCAAAAACCTGACCATGATGGTCTTAAAAGTAGAAAAAGGTTCATGCCTTTGTCAAGGCTCGGTAAGTACTCCTTGATTAAGTGGGTGGAAGAGAAAATACACATACCATCTTGGCCCACTGATGTGGTGAACCAGACATTCTCAGCCTATTGTCCTAATGAAATAAAATTTCTCAGATTGCTCTTCAGTCAAGAAACAAGAGACCTGATGATTCATTACCAATCAATCCTCTGAGAATCAAATGGAGTTAGTGATACTTCTGAAATAAAACTTTTATAGTTTATGGGGGCTGCTGAGGTAGCTGGGTCAGGATAAATAAGAGGAAAAACAGACTGGCTTAAAATAAGATGTTATCTTCCTACAGGGGCCAAGTCCACTGGACCTCACTGAAAAAGAAAAATTAGGGGAAGGGTTCTGACAACCGGCCAAAGCACACTACCCAGAAACGCTTCCAGCTCTAAGGCACGACATGAACAGCGGAAGGCAACCTGACTGGCCTGGCCACGCGGTGAGCAAGTGAGTCTGCGCCGCTGTCTCCCGGTCCCTCACCCACCCCTTCCTGAGAGGAGGAGGGTGTGAATGCTAGTCTCACACTGAAGCTGAGTACAAGTCCCTTGGATACCACTTTGCTGGTATCTAATAACAATCCTACTTTCTTGGCTTCTGGGACACAGTCTTGTCTCATAGCACAGTATATGTCATGAGTTGGGTTTGTTTTTTTTCTTTTTTTTTTTTTTTCTCTGGTACCGGGAACCGAACTCACGACCTTGCGCTTGCCAGGCAGGTGCTTTTGCCGCTGAGCTAAATCCCCAGCCCCTTGTTTTTTTTCTTTTGAGACAAAGTTTTGCTATGAAGTTCAGAATAGCCATGAACTAACTATGTAGCCCAGATTAGCCCCAAACTCATGACGATCCTCCTGCCTCAGCCTCTCACACGCTGAGATCACAGGTCTGCACCACCACAGCCAGCCAGCTTGATCATTTTGAAAGATGGTTCAGAACCTCAAGAATCATTCTAGATACCTTAGTGCATCATTATTCACAGCACCCACTTTGGATTCTCTTCCTTCTCCATTGGCCACTTAATTTTCTTCAGGTCTCATAATATGGACTAATAAAAGAGGACTGAAGAACAAATCAGTCAAAAAGAGTTTTTTAAAAGCATCTACCTCTTATGAGCATGTAAATCTACATACAAAAGTGCTAAAACATTCCCAGGGGCCTTTGAGAAAAATGGAAGAAGTCCTTAAATATTAAAGAAATGGAATCCTAATTGTCAAAAAGAGAAAAGGCAGATTCCCAGCTACAGAAGTGTAGAAAAGGTTTAGTGACAATGCTATGAAACAGTGTCACAAGCAGGTCAAAGGGAGGCACAGGATGTTCAACACAAGTAGACAGATTCTCTGAGAAGACAGGAAGGCCTAAGCCTCTGCAGAGTTACTAGACTAATAAATGAGACGGGTACTAAAAGCATGGGCTATCTGAACTGAAACAAAATATCTACACATGGTAAGCTGAGTAATTCTTTGTGGCTGGGAGCTCTCCCTGTGTTGTGGGATATGAAGTAGAATCCCCAGACCCAATTAGGCATCATAGCATCCTCCAGCTGTAATAATCAAAAACATCATGGGGGAAAAAAAAAGAATCAAGTTATACCATCACAGCTACAAATTCTCTATGATGAATGTGATCATTAGGTATATCTAAAATGTAGGGGCTGGGGGTTTAGCTCAGCGGCACAGCACCTGCCTGCCAAGCACAAGGTTGTGAGTTCGATTCCCGATACCAGAAAGAAACAAAAAAAGAAAAAAACAAAAATGTACCTATAAAATCTGATTGAAGAAAAAAATACAAAGGTCTCCAGATATTGCCAAAGAC